GTAGAGTACGTATTGTAGAGTACGTGTTGTAGAGTACGTGTAGAGTACTTCACCTGTAGTAGAGTACCTGTAGTAGTAGAGTACGTGTAGAGTACTTCACCTATAGTAGAGTCATTGTAGAGTACTTCACCTGTAGTAGAGTACCTGTAGTAGAGTACCTGTAGTAGAGTACATGTAGAGTACTTCACCTGTAGTAGAGTACGTGTAGAGTACTTGACCTGTAGTAGAGTACCTGTAGTAGAGTACCTGTAGTAGAGTACCTGTAGTAGAGTACCTGTAGTAGAGTACCTGTAGTGGAGTACGTGCAGAGTACTTGAGCTGTAGTAGAGTACTTGTAGTGGAGTACGTGCAGAGTACTTGAGCTGTAGTAGAGTACTTGTAGTGGAGTACGTGCAGAGTACTTGAGCTGTAGTAGAGTACTTGTAGTGGAGTACGTGCAGAGTACTTGAGCTGTAGTAGAGTACTTGTAGTGGAGTACGTGCAGAGTACTTGAGCTGTAGTAGAGTACTTGTAGTGGAGTACGTGCAGAGTACTTGAGCTGTACTTGTGTGTGTCAGACGTCCTGTAGTGACCGGTGGGTAATCTTCAGCTCTGGTTATGCAACATCAGCTGTGTGTCCATAAGAGGATCTTCTCTGGAGTGTGGTTTCCATCACAACATCTCTCATTCTCTTTCTCTCATTGTTGCTAAATAAAGCTACACTATGTCACTTTTCTGGTTTCTGAAAAGTCTGCACCTGCTGTTTCTATGGAGACCACATTACTGCTCTTTATTCTCATGTAAATATCATTCTCACTGTGAGATCTGATTAATGTCACACTGTGGAACATTACAGGCAAAGCAATAACATCTCCATGGAGACAAGCAGATGGCAAACCTCCACCAGAAAAATGACACAGTGTAGCTTTAAGTGAAAGTGAATCCGATTCAGAATGTCCATACAGTGATGATTCAGCTTGTGTTAATGGTGTTTGTCTCAATTTAAGTTACATTTAAAAGTAATATATTACTTTTGTATTACTAATGAATTCAACAGTTAAGACCCAATTTGAATGAAGTGATACTGTTCAAAAGATAACTAACTAACTCACTCACTCACTAACGCACTAACTAACTAAATCACTCACTAACGCACTAACTAACTAACTCACTCACTAACGCACTAACGAACTCACTAACTAACTCACTCACTCACTCACTCACTCCTGGTGTATTTTAGTTTCTGTTGCTCTATATTCATCATAATCTTTCTATTTCTGGAGTTCTGAGAACAAAAGAAGATGGCCGACCAACTGACCCCAAACCCAGTGCCTCTCACCGTTTATTTTTAGCATGTAGCTAATTGTGTTAGCAGAGGTTTCCTCTGCGCTTCATTCTAGTTTTTCACTTTGTGCATTTGTCTAATCACGTTTTACACGTTCTGTTTGTTCTCTCTGATGTTTATCTCCTGACCCTGGACTCACAAACATGGACTCTCTGATATTTGTGAGTTCACAGACTCATCAGAGTCATGTTGGTGCTGGCTGGTGTGACAGGGCCTGACAGGTGCAGGGCGACCAATCACGTCGCAGCATTGAGGTTTGGACGGAGCCAAAAGTGAAGCGCCCAAACCAACCAAAACAAACATGGAGACGCCCACAGACACACTTCAGACTATTTTAACATCAGTACAGAATATTTAGCAGATAACGTGCAGAAGGTAAGAGCTTTGTGCATTTGTGGACAGGGAAGATGGATTTAACTAACGTGTGTTTTTTTGGCTTGTTCCACTGCTGTGACTCTTCGACCAATCAGATTCAAAGAGTCGTCATGACTCTGTGTTTCTGAGCTCTTACAGTGAGTCGTTCAGACTGACCATGTGGAGACTCACTTCACACACACATCAGTCTGAGTCTGGTCGCCTGAGCTAATGCAAATGTTCCAGCTTTGCCTGAAATGTTCCACAGTATGGCATTAACTCATTTTCATTTACAGAGATTTTGGAGCCTTATAAAAACACTTTGTTCTTTTAAATACATGGGAAAAAGGAAAAAAAAAAGTAATTGATTCATTCACAAACATATAGTGTCAATAGTTTTGATCTAAACACTGTTTTACCTGGTCTTACCCACCCACAGGTTGTTGGTTCAATTCCTAACATCATCATCATCACAAACAGGTGATGCTGATTGTTTGTGTTAGAGTGACTGTCGTGTGTCCCGGGGCAGCTGTGACCTGCACTGATGACTGACGCCTGCAGGAATCTCATTTAGTGCATTATTCTGTCGGAGTTCAGCTGGGAGAGAGCTCGTCCTCTGATCTAAAGCTGCTGCTTCAAAACTTGCTCATAAACATCACTGTTATTCCAGCTCCCACAGATGGACAGAATGCTGCCGTTGTGTTCTTGGGCAAGACACTTAACCCCCTTTACCTCCAGTGTCTGTGTGCACTGGAGTATGAGAGTGTGGAAGAGTGATGTAAAGAACTTTGAGCCTTGAAAGTGGAAAAGCGCAGTATAAAAATCTACTATAACATAGTTCAAAGCTCTGAAAAGTATTTGCAGAATAGCTCTGGTCTGTCTGTATGGTGTATTCATGCAGTGGGTCGTCTCCGTCTCCTCACTCGTCTTTAGTGTCTGGTTTCAGTCCTCGGTCTCTTTGGGATTTCCCCTCTGCAGATTATCTCTTCCTCTGTCACTTTAATTCATTAATCCTCAACTTTACTACGAACATCACTCCGGAGCTGGATTAAAGTCACTGATAAAGGTTTGGACCTAAACGAGGTCACCGGGACCTGGACCTGGAAACACAGCATCACTTCACAAAGAAAAGTAGAATGGTAAATACACGGTGAACTGTCAGTTTCTTCTTTCTGACCCTCTGAAGTCATACTTGGAGTGATTTGTGCATGTTTAAGTCATCTTTAAGCACTTAAAGGGACAGTCCAGAATTTTGGACAAAGGACCTCACGTCTTAGTTTTCCCGAGTGGGTAAGACTGTTTTTAGTGGCAGGAGAACTATGACCATTGACATGCACTAGTCTAGCACCAGTGACCTCTGCAAATACAAGGACTGGATGGAAGATTTCAAAAAGTGTCTCCACACATCTCCAACACTCTGGCTCACGAGGAAATGAGGTCCTGTGTCCAAAATTCCAGACTGTCCTTTAACATTGGGCAGCGCTGCATCGTCATCTCCAAGTCCAAGTGTAAAAAAACTCTGTTCTAGTGTGATGTGCAGATATCCACAGGAGGAGCCCACAGCGTGTGGTGCTTTTTCATTATGATGTTTACAGCGACTTCAGCTCCCACTGGACACCACAGTTTTCGAACGAGGAAGTCAGCGCACTTGTTTCTATTATAAAGCCATTTTAGATGAATACTGGGATTTAAAATGTCCAGATTATAACAGAATCCAAAGGTGTAACAGATTAGAACTACAGAGCACACACAAGCACAATATCTCTGCTTCAAGACTTTGAAATGTGACGTGTTTGTCCTTTTTACATTCTTTTTTTTTTTTTTTTTTTTGTAATGATATGATGATAATAATACACATACAGATTTAATTAGATCCTTACATAATGTAGAAATGAACACCTCTGTCCAGAACAGGTTTTATGGCATGGACTGTTTAATTAGCTGCACTTTGCTGTTGCAACATTTCAATTTCTCTAACATGGGATAAAAATTGTATGATTGATTGATTGATTGATTTGTTTTTATTTCGAGCTTGTGCATATATATATATATATATATATATATATATATATATATATATATATATATATATATATATATATATATATATATATATATATACACACATATATATACATTACACATACATACATACATACATACATACACACAACCCCCCAGCCCTGTTCATGACATAGTTTCAAAAATGATGTGGTTGTGGTTCTGTACATTGATCAAATATTTACATATAGCAAAATAAATGACATATTATGCATACAAAATATAAGTTTAACCCCAAAACCTTTTTTTTTTTTTTTTTTTTTCATATTGTACTGTACATGTAGCCTGATTCATCAGCCGGTTTCACTTTGTGGAAACCGTCTGACCAGTCTGACGCAGTGTTAGAATTTGTTCACTCAACGTTTTTTATTTAACCAATTGCTTTTATTTGGGCATGACGTATGTAATGCACCACTAACAGGGTTAACTGGTATATTAAGCTTTTCCCAAATCCTGTAGGAAGAAGGACGTCTTTCCCCTTGATAAAATTCATCAAACATCTTTATTCTTACTTTAAATCCTCGATCTCTGGAATCATTGACAACACAGAATATAAGGCTCTTCACTGATTGGCTGGTGCTTGAACTCGCACTTCCAGGGTTTTTTGTGAACTGTCTAGTGTATTCTGATTCCTGATCTCATTTGCTGGAGAGAAATGAAATTGAGCGGAGGCACTAGGTGGCACCAGCCTGGTTACTGTACACGACCTACTAAAGAGAAAACCTGAATCAAATAAGCTCAGTTGGAGAATATGTGGAGAAGAAAAAAACAGAGACTACAGTACTGGGAGGCAAGATTGGAAAAGTGTGTTGCACAAGGACAGAACAACAGTATGTCATGTTGGTATTGGAGCAGAGATCAAAAATGTGACTTGATCTGAACTAGAACTTTATTGGCCTGAATACGTGTGTAATTCTCATTAAATCTGTGAACATTTCGCCGACAGAAAAGGAGGTTTGGTTAAAAGCTGTTGGACTTTCACTCCTCCTCGATCCTCCGTCGCGTTTCTTCACAAACATCGCGGGTCTGAACATTCGCCCTGGTTCATTCCTCCGTCGAAAATCCCTCATTCCGCTGAACCCGAGTCTCGTGTTTGTGTTTTGGTGGAGGAGGGAGGGCGGGCGGGGGGGCGGGGGGGCGCAGCAGCTGAGGCCGGGGAGGAGGAGCCAAACGCGGCGGGGGGGCGGCGTGCAGTCCCGGTCCGAGCTCACACAGAGTTCACAGAGGCACAGAGACGACAGGAGGAGACGCTGGAGGACGCGCGGTGCCATCCAAACCTCTCCAAAAACCGAACCAGAACCTTCGCTTTTACGCACGGCTGCTCGGAGCGATGGAGTGCGTAAAATCGACCCGGACTGTGGTTCAACTTTGACCGGGGGAAAGCGCGTTCAGACTCGGCTTCTTGTGTCGCATCCTTTGTCTCCTGCTCCGAGGGATGGTGTCAGCCCCGGACAACAGTGCGAAGCGGTGACATCTCCGTGTGACGCGAACCTGAAGCGGATCTGCAGCGGAGTTTTGTGGATGTTTTTGCTGTGAGCGCGTCTTTGGATACGTGCAGCGGGGATTACCTACATGCTCGCGGCATATTTACGCAGGTAAGGTGCAAATAGAGAGATATTTTTAACTCTTGCGTCTCTATTTAACGCAGCTGACGAATCTACTGCGATAAACGCGTCACAAACTGCGAAAAACAAGCGCAATTTTTAACGCAAAGTTGGTTTAGTTGCAGAAAAACGCGATATAATTAGAAAAAGACGATTTATGGATTTAATCTTTCTCTTAAAGCTGACATTTAAAGGACTTATCAGCAATCAAAAGACGCAGCATTTCTTTTTAAATTGATAATTGCTATGGTAACAGTTCTGATTTGACATTTTGAAACCCATGAATTGCGTTTTATTCAGGTCTAGAATATGAATTAATCTTCTTGTAATCCATTTTAAGTCAAATGTGGGCTATTTTAAGGCTACAGAATGCATGCATGGATTTCAAAATGAAAAAAACAATAGTTGCTATAGTGATTAACAATAAAAACCAAATACATAGTTTGTGTTTTGAATGGGGAAAGTCCTCAGAATGTCGACTCTAACATGAAACTTCACATTTGCATGAAACAAGTGGAGCAGGACTCGGTCTGACTCGGCTCTTGCGCACAAAGGGAGCCACGACCGACGAGGCTTAAGGCGGATCGTAACGCGACGGAACCAGCGGCGCGCTCTGAGTGTCCCATTAACGAAAAGCAATTAACGCAGAGTGTCCAAAGTCCAAAGTGTCAAGCGCACGTTTAGAGACGAGATCCGGATCAGGAGGGAGGTGAACTGAAGCACAAGCAAACTAGAAATGTTACGGAAAAATATGCAGAATCATGAAATTGTAATTAATAATCGACTAAAGAAATGATTGGTGCTCTGTGGGTTAGTGGACTAAAGGGTGCTGCAAAAATATCTTTATATCGTATCGTTTAATGTGATGATACAGTATCGATATCGTGGGCTATTGCATCGATATATCACTAAGAGTATTTTTTGGTATATTTTACTCAGCTACAGTTTTGTTGCTTGTTTTGATGATTAAAATGTTTGTGTTTCATTTGAACTTTGCACAAGAAGTGGTTTAACAAACACTTGATTTAGCCTTTATTTTTATTGAACCATATTGAATCGATTTGAAATATCATATTGACTGAAAAGCTCACTGTATCGAGGTATGTATCGTATCGGCAACTTCTTAATGATACCCAGTCCTAGTCGGAAGCGCCCAAAACTAAGGCTGCAAGTTTAATTGTTGGATCGAAAGTTGGATCGAAATCGGAATTTGGTCACAATTTGCAAATCTCAAAAGCTGCATTTTAAAAAAAAAAGTTCCATAATTTCCTCCTCATGTTCTGCGTAAAAGCTGCTAATCCTGTAGTTTAAACCTCTAAAAACACGTTCTGAAATGTCACTGTGTGTCAGATGCCCTCCCCGTGTCTCCATGAGGTTTTATTCTGCATAAAACATGTTCGGAAATGTGATTCTTGTGTTCGTTTGTCAGATCAGATTTAACTTTTTTTGTCAGTTCTTCTGGACGTGTTTAAAATGTGAACTTTGAACAGAATCTTATTATTAAAACAGAAATCTCAAACTGAATCATGATTGAAATGTTGAAAAATTGCAATTTGATTTTTTGACCGAATGGTGGCGCCCTACTCATAATGATTCACTTTTTAATTTGCATTTGACCCGAACTGCGCAGACACGATATCGATATGCAGACAGCTACTCTTTAAAGTCACAATTCACTCCCAAATGTCCAGTAAAATCCCAGACTGTACCCTCTAGCGTCACGTTCCAAACAGGAAGTGAGCATGGGCGTACTTCCAGCTCCATCGACTCTGCCTCTAATTGAGTTTACGTTGAAAATCCATCATCTCTCTCTGTAACTGCTGTCGTGAGCTTCATCATTACCTCCACCAAGGAGGTTATGTTTTTGCCGGCGTTTGTCTGTTTGTTTGTCTGTTTGTTTGTTTGTTTGTTTGTCTGTTAGCAACATAACTCAAAAAGTTATGGACCGATTTTGATGACATTTTCAGGATTTGTTGGAAATGTGAAAAGGAAGAACTGATTTCATTTTGGGGGTGATCCGGAAGAAATCCTGGATTCTGGATCACTTTGAAATTTTAGTTAACATTGTGGTAAATGGGGCCAAAAATTTTGTTTCTCAATATCTCGGTTAATTATTGACCAAACCCCATGAAATTTGACTCAGGGATGGACAATGGGATCCTCTTTCATATTCCAAAGGCTGATCCGGATCTGATCCAGAAGCCTGATTTTATCGCAATTTATATAAAAAATGGGGGTAGTCCTTGGCGGAGGTCTGCGCTCTCTGAGTGCTTTTCTAGTTTTGGTTTTAAAATGTTCGTATTAACCCGTTTTACATGACCCCGGTGTTTCTATTTCGCTATTTTGTCCGTTAATAAATCCGTATCCAAATTTGGGCTTTTAACTGCCAGCCTCGGTGAGCTTCATTTGACTGGAGCTGAATCTACTCCATCTACCAGATCACTACATGACTACAGCTCAACTATCAACACAAAAATAACCAGTATCTGTGCAATACCAAATACTATACTATACTAATATTGTGATATCGTATCGTCCAAGGTCTCCCAATAACATCGTCGATCATCACAATATGTCAAATTTCAAGTGTCTTCGCTTAAATGAAGAGTTATGGTGCGTTGTACATTGTACATTGTTATCGTTACTAAACTAGGACTAAACCAGGACTACATCAGGTCTAAACCAGGACCTAAACCAGGACTAAACTAGGACTAAACCAGGACTAAAACCAGGTCTAAACCAGGTCTAAACCAGGACTAAACCAGGTCTAAACCAGGACTAAACAAGGACTACATCAGGTCTAAACCAGGACTAAACCAGGACTACATCAGGTCTAAACCAGGACTAAACCAGGACTACATCAGGTCTAAACCAGGACTAAACCTGGACTAAACCAGGACTAAACTAGGACTAAACCAGGACTATACCAGGACTAAACCAGGTCTAAACCAGGTTTAAACCAGGTCTAAACCAGGACTAAACAAGGACTAAACCAGGACTAAACCAGGACTAAACCAGGACTAAACCAGGTCTAAACCAGGACTATACCAGGACTAAACCAGGATCTAAACCAGGACTATACCAGGACTAAACCAGGACTATACCAGGACTAAACCAGGACTAAACCAGGACTAAACCAGGACTAAACCAGGACTAAACCAGGTGTAAACCAGGACTAAACAAGGACTAAACCAGGACTAAACCAGGTCTAAACCAGGTCTAAACCAGGCACTAAACCAGGACTAAACCAGGTCTAAACTAGGACTAAACTAGGACTGTCACGTGTCACGGGTTAATATGAACATTTTAAGACCAAAATGACAAGGCCACAGCAGCAGGAACAGACAGAGGAATGACAAGATCCTAATGTAAGTCCATTGGAGCCACAAGAACCTCCTGGAAAACTTCATATTTCGCACACGGCGGCGAGCACGTTAACTATGTCCACTCACATATACGGTCTCTGTCGCCTCCACAAAATATCACAGTAAATATTGTACTGAGACATTTCAATATCGTTATTCTAATTAGAGTTTAGAGTTTAGATTTAGATCTTAGATAAAGTTTAGATTTCAGTCTTCTCTCAAATGCAATCAGAACTGAATCTTGATTTTAAAGGCGCACTGTGTAACTTATCTTCATGGCAATATCCCACATTACGGCATTAACTTTATATATTTCCATGGAGACAAGTCTACAATGCATCCACGCCAAGTTCCAGGTCAGATCTGTGGAGAGGCGAGCTCACTCACTGTACGAATTTGTGTTTTTTCGTAGTATTTTGTCACTGCAGATGAGTTCAAAGCCGTACTGTGAAACCTTCCAGGCAAAAAAATCATATCTCCATGGCAACAACGCCTATCAGAAAAGTTACACAATGCTCTTTTAAGAACAAAACTCAGAAATATAATAAAAATTTGTCAGAATCAAACCAATTCCAGGCTTGAATCTCACCAGAATGTAATAATAGAACATGTCTGACTGATTTAAACCATGTGAGTGTGTTGTGCTGAATTGTAATATGCAGATTAATGATGTAAGTACAGTGTGTTCTGTGTCTCTGCGTGTGTGTGTGTGTGTGTGTGTGTCTGGGTCTAACCATCCGCTGTCGAAAATGCAGAAAAGATGTTGAATTTTCTGACAAATGCTGCAATTTTGATTCATTTAAGTCCAAATTTAAATAAGTGAACGAATACATGGAGACACGGGGAGGACATCTGACACACAGGGAGGGCATCTGACACACAGGGAGGACATCTGACACACAGGGAGGGCATCTGACACACAGGGAGGGCATCTGACACACAGGGACAGTGTTTGGTCGGTCACGCTGCGTTCACAGAAAACAGGAACAGTTAAAATCCCAAATGTGTGGAGGCGACGAGTCTGAGGTGAAATGAGTTTTTCTGGGTTAAGCGGAGAACAAAAGAACGCTTCATCCTCCGTGTGCCCTGTGTTCAACTGTACTCACTCTACTCTGACAGCTGGACGGACGGAGGGAGGGAGGGACAGATAGATAGAGAGAGAGAGTGGGGGAAGAGAGGGGGAAGACAGCAGGAGGAAGAGATGGAGGTCGGGGAAAGGAAGAGAAGGGGGAGGAGCGAGAGGAGGGAGCGGTTGGGGAGAGGAGGGAGTGTAGGAGAAGGAAGAGAGAGAGGAGAAGTAAAGAGGGTGAGGGAGGAGAGAGAGGAGGAGAGAGAAGAGGAGAGAGGGGAAGAAAGAGACGAGGAGTAGAAAGGTTGAAGAGAGAAGCCGTGAGAGAGGGGGAGGAGAGAGAGGGAGGAAGGGGTTGGGGAGAGGAAGAGGAGAGGAAGAGAGAGGAGGAGGAGAGGGGGAGAGAGAGGAGGAGAGGGGAGAGAGGAGGAGAGGGGGTGAGGGAGGAGGGCAGAGGGTGAGGAAGGATAGAGAGGGTGAGGGAAGAGGAGAGAGGGTAAGGGAAAAGAGAGAGGAGGGACAGAAAGGTGGAAGAGAGAAGGAGAGAGTGAGGGAGGAGTAGAGAGGGGGGAGACAGATGAAGGAAGAGACGGGGGTTGGGGAGAGGAAGAGAGACGGGGTGGAGAGGGTGAGGGCGGAGAGAGAGGAGGGGAGAGGAGAAGAGAGAGAGCGAGGAGGAGAAATGCGGAGGACAGAAGTGGAGAGAAAAAGGGAGGGAGGAGGAGAAGGGAGAGAGAGACGAGACCAGGGATTTGTCCCAGTTTTATACAAGTCCCAGGTGCCCCTATTTTTGACCAATCTGATCTAAACCAGGACTAAACTAAGACTAAACTAGGACTACACCAGGACTAACCCAGGTCTAAACCAGGTCTAAACCAGGACTAGACCAGGACTAAATCAGGACTCCATCAGGTCTAAACTAAGACTAAACCAGGACTACATCAGGTCTAAACCAGGACTAAACTAAGACTAAACCAGGACTACATCAGGTCTACACCAGGTCTAAACCAGGACAACATCAGGTCTACACCAGGTCTAAACCAGGACTAAACTAGGACTCCATCAGGTCTAAACCAGGACTAAACTAAGGTTAAACCAGGACTACATCAGGTCTACACCAGGTCTAAACCAGGACTCCGTCAGGTCTAAACAAAGACTAAACCAGGACTACATCAGATCTAAATCAGGACTAAACCAGGTCTAAACTGAGACTAAACCAGGACTACATCAGGTCTAAACCAGGACTAAAACAGGACTATCACAATTTTTGACTAATCTGATCCGTACCAACAGTGAAGATGAAAATAAATTCTCATGTTTGGCCAAAATTCAGAAAACTGTTTGAAAATGACCACGAAGAAAAAAAAAAAGCAGCGTCAGAAGTCTCTCAGATCACGACCGACACGACAATCCACAATGTTACTCGCTCTTTCCACTATTTTATTTATACCAAACATCTCAAACCCGGTGTGTCCCAGTTTAGAATTTTGAAAATCTGGTTACTCTATATTAACATTGCGAAATAATGAGATTTATAATTTGCACATGCACTGACACAACCTTCTTCTGTTCCAGGTGATGTTTCCTCACTTCGCTCAACTAGAACCGCTGAGCTAACATCTCAACATTCACGAGTTAGCCTCCAGATCGCACTTCCTTCTCCTTCTCTCATCTCCGAGCATCACGTCGCCATGGGAACCGTCCTGTCCATCTCCCCGGGCTCTCGCAAATCCGGCTACTACGACACGGGCCCCGGCTCCCTCAACCACTACCCCAGCCTGACCAACCGGCCCCTCGCCAAAGACAAGCGAAGCCAGTCCATCTTCCTCCCCGCGCTCACCTGGAAGCGCATCGTAGCCTCCACCAAGAAGAAAAGCAACGCCAAGAAACCTTTCGCCGACCACCTCAACAACAACAACATCAACTTCTACCACAAAGACCCCGTTTTGAACCTGAACCGCGAAAACGTCAAGAAATCGTTATCGTGCGCCAACCTCTCCAGCTACGAAGCCTACAACATCGGGATCGGGTACAGCAAGTCGCAACAGCTCTCGTCGGTCAAAAAGGTGCCGCAGGGGGCGCTCACATCGTCCCCGAAGAGAGTCATAGTGCAGGCGTCGACCAGCGAGCTTTTACGATGTTTGGGCGAGTTTTTGTGCTACCGCTGCTACCGTTTAAAACATCTCAGCCCGGCCGATCCCGTGCTTTGGTTGAGGGCGGTCGATCGGTCGTTATTGCTCCAAGGCTGGCAGGATCAGGCTTTCGTAACCCCCGCCAACGTCGTTTTTGTTTACATGCTCTGCCGAGATGTCGTGGACGGAGATCTGATTTCGTCCGAGCACGAGCTTCAAGCGATCCTGCTCACCTGCCTGTACCTGTCGTACTCGTACATGGGGAACGAGATCTCGTACCCGCTGAAGCCGTTTCTGGTGGAGGCGGGGAAGGAGGCGTTTTGGGACCGTTGCCTAGCGATTATCAACGTGACCAGCTCCAAAATGCTGAGGATAAACGCCGACCCGCACTTTTTCACGCAGGTTTTCGCGGAACTGAAAAGCGAAGGGGGGTGTCTGCCCCAGGACTTTAGTCGCATGTTGGATCGGTGAGAACTAAACCGGGATTTGAAAGTTTTACAAGAGACTTCATGCCAAATGATCACAAAACCGCGTTCAGTTTCAGTGTATTTTTGTACAGCTCAAAATCACAACAGCAGTCGCCTCACAAAATGGGTGATTTGATGGAAGAAAGTTCGAAAATCAAACCGTGAAAAAGTTTGTGAAGTACAGACAAGCTGATTAACCAACTTTCATGTACCTTTAGGGCTGGGTGATACGGCACTGCTCTTTCCATTGACCCTGTTTTATGAGTTTCCTGTTATTTACCCCATTTTTAGGACCGTAAAAAGATAGAATATTTAGATCTGAATTGCTTTGCATCAGTCCTACAGCAAATTTGCCGTAAAACAACTTAACACTCAAATTTTTGCCAACTATTCCCCCAAATTTTTAGGAGAAAAATTAAGGGAATATTGAGGAACTGCATCGATTTCCAAGTACGATCAACACGTGAAAACACAACTAAAGAGATTTATCAGGTCTAAACCAGGACAAAACCAGGTCTAAACCAGGACTAAACCAGGTCTAAACCAGGACTAAACCAGGTCTAAACCAGGACTAAACCAGGTCTAAACCAGGACCAGGTCTAAACCAGGACTACATCAGGTCTAAACCAGGACTAAACCAGGTCTAAACCAGGAGTAAACCAGGTCTAAACTAGGAGGTCTAACCAGGACTAATCAGGTCTAAACCAGGAACCAGGTCTAAACCAGGACTACATCAGGTCTAAACCAGGACTAAACTAAACCAGGACTAATCACTAAACAGGACTAAACCAGGTCTAAACCAGGAGTACCACAGGTCTACCAGGTCTAAACCACAGGACTAACCAGGTCTAACCAGGACCAGGTCTAAACCAGGTCAGTAAACCAGGTCTAAACCAGGACTACATCAGGTCTAAACCAGGACTACATCAGGTCTAAACCAGGACTAAACCAGGTCTAAACCAGGACTACATCAGGTCTAAACCAGGACTAAACCAGGTCTAAACCAGGAGTAAACCAGGTCTAAACTAGGACTACATCAGGTCTAAACCAGGACTAAACTAAGACTAAACCAGGACTACATTTGATTAGGTTCTTTTTCAGACCAAGAGCTTGTACTACTAATGAACCTCATTGGACTACAACTTAAAATATTTATAACTTAAATAATGCTGTGGTAAAATGTGTGTAAATGTGTGTGTAAATGTCTCCAGCAGCTTCATAAATCTGTCCCATCACCAAATCTTCACCCAACAAGCTCCACAAAGGATAAACATTCTAACATGAAGAATTTATCCACAACTATCAAGAGAAGAAAGATAAAAACTTAAAGTAGAACAACGACCACACATTAGTGAACTACTGAGCAAAACTAATGGTATGATCGTAAATAAAACAGAAGTAATAAGTAATTCATTAACAGTTACTTCTGTTTTATTCATGATCATAATATTTTTTGTTTTGCTCAGTAGTTCACTGATGGTAGGCGAACGTTTGGCTTTCTTCTCTTGATAGTTGTGGATAAATTCTTCATGTTAGAATGTTTATCCTTTGTGGAGCTTGGTTGTTGGTTGAAGATTTGGTGATGGGGCAGATTTATGAAGCTGCTGGAGAATACGACACATTTACACACACATGTTGCATAGAAAAGCATTAACCAGAAGTGACGTTTACCCGACATCGCGGCACTTCCGGCTGTTGTGAAAAGGATCTATTCAGAAATACGTTTTTAATAGGTGACCAGATTTTCAAAATTCTAAACTGGGACACACCCGGGTTCGGATGTTTGGTAAATAAAATTGTGAAAAAAAGTGTGTAACATTTAGCATTCTAGTGTCAGTCATGATCTGAGGGAGCTTTATGGTCATTCACAAACACAGCTTTTGTGTATTTTGGCAAAACAAAAGACAGTTTATGCTCCTCTTTATTGTTGGCAAGGATCAGATTAATCAAAAATTGTGATAGTCCTGGTTTAGTCCTGGTTTAGACCTGATGTAGTCTTGGTTTAATCTTAGTTTAGTCCTGCTTTACACCTGGTTTAGATCAAATTGGTCAAAAATACAGACACTTGGGACATTTCTTGTATAAAACTGGGACAAATCAGTGGTTTTGTATAAATCTGCTGGGACAGGGGACACAGAGCTCAAACCTGGAACGGTCCCAGGTAAAACGTCTGGCCATCCCAAATAGTGTACATTTTTATTCCAGAGCTGATGAACCTGTCTCTAACACACACTAAAACACTTTTTAACTAAAAGGAGGGATTGGAATGAGAATTTGACTTGCAAAATAAGAAATTCTCATCCACTTCTAAGTGTGGTTGCCAACCGTCCCTTGAAAAACTGAATCGTCCCGTATTCGGAAACAAAAGTACGTGTCCCGTATTGAACTGAAACCATATCAGTGCATGCGCACTAGTGCATGCGCAGTAGTGCTATGTAGCTCAAAAGTACACCGGCCCTGCCAATGAGGTGTCCATTATTTATTTTTCAGGGAGTTGGTAACCCTACTTCTGAGTAGCGTGCTGTATCACCCGACCCTGTATCACATCCTTTAGTTCACTTTTAGCAACTTTTTCACAACAATCTGCCTGAAAAACCTCACAGCTGCTCCTGTCTGAGATCCTCTACAAAGTATGGAGCTTCTAAAGTTTGATCAGCTGGTGTCTGCAGCTCTGACGTTCACCTGTGTAAACCTCCGGCACACTTGGAGCACCTGTCGCTGTTAGCTTAGCGCTGAGTTCGCGTTAGCTTCAGGCCTGGGAATGTGTTTGGGATGCACCTGTTTCCAAAAAAAGACAACATGGACTTTCAGAGAATTCGCTGCAAAAATAAATCTCAAGAATGGGTTCAAATGACGTCAATTCAGAACAAATTATCTTGATTTGAGTCGTTTTGTTGATAAAAGCTAAACTGTTCTATGAAAATCATGTGTTTCAGTTTTATAACTCTAATGTCTCATTTCATTTTGAAATTATTAGACACTATGGTCCAAATTTGTCCATTTGTTCCATTCTGAAACACTTACAACTTTAGGACTTAACTGTACTAAGAAATAAGAAGCAAAGTGTTTAAGTTCCACATCTTAGTCAGAAAAGTAAGTTGAGTAAATATAGACTGAACAGATTTTCAGAGTTCTAAACTGGGACACACCCGGGTCAGGATGGTCCATGTACCATTTGTTCTTTTGAATTTCAGTTTAGATGGAAAAACAATAAAATGGGAAAACAGTTTATGTCATGATTCTGTTTGTGTGTCAAACAAAAAAACTGATTTCAACCTCTAGTTCCAATATTTAGTTTAAAGATTATTTCAAATAACACCAATCAAAAAACTTCTCGGTGCCTATTTCAATTTGGATATATTTTTCTCTCTGGAAGTTCTGCTGAAAAAATCGTTGCAGTTTTGTCGACAAACATGTTTCTTTTATAGTGACGTGTTTACTTTTGCGTCTTAGAAAGAAATTGCTGAAATCCATGACGCAAAACAGGAAGCAGCTCACTAAGAAGCAGAACTTATATCCAAATATCTAAATTGAAATAGGCAGACTGTTTTTTTGGTTGGTGTTATTTGAAACAAATTTTCAATTGAATATTGGAAATAAAGGTTAAAATGGGAATTATGAGATAACAAACTTCTTAATGGAAATTCAAAAGAATGAATGTATGAAAAGTACATGGACCTGGGATAAAATAGTGAAAAGAGCGTGTAAGATTGTGCATTCTCATGTCATGATCTGAGGGGCTTCTGTCACTGCATTCTTTTGTTTTATGTTCATTCACAAACACGGTTTTCTCTTTTTGACAAAACAAATGACACTTGATGCTCCTCTTTACTGTTGGCAGGGATCAGATTAGTCAAAAACTGTGATAGTCCTGTTTTAGTCCTGGTTTAGACCTGATGTAGTCCTGGTTTAGTCTCAGTTTAGTCCTGGTTTAGATCAAATTGGACCAAAATAGTGACACCTGGAACATTTCTTGTATAAAACTGGAACAAATCTGTGGTTTTGTATAAATGTGCTGGAACAGAGGACACTGGCTCAATACTGGGATTGTTTCAGGGAAATAGAGACATCTGCTCACCGTAAGTAAATAAGAAGTAAACTTGCCAAAACTACTCAAATTAAAGTTAATACTCAGAATTCAAGTCATTTCAACTCATCTAGAAATGATTTTTGCACTGCCCTTGGTATAAGAAGAGATTTGGACATTTCTGAAGCACAATGGACTACTGCGAAACTTTTTATTTTGCTTTTTTCGAACATTTGAGAAGAAAAAAATGGATTTGAACTCTTTACAGCCTTTTTGACACTGGAAGGACAACGCTAACGCTTGACGCTTGAATCTGTGTGACTGAAATGCCTTTTATATTTGCTTTTATTTATAACGCCGACGCTAATGTGAAGTTAGCGACTGTTGTTTTTGCTCAAACTGTTCTAAGTTATAGATCTGTAGAATCAAAAGGAACTCAAAGCCCTCGAATGTGGTTAGCTGCATGACGCTAGCGATGTTAGCACTTTGTTTTCTAGCCCGCTAACAGCTAATGTTTAAAATCTGAACCACATATTTTCTATTTAATCGTTTTATAATGTTGTTTTCTTGTCAAAAACATGCCTGGAGTAGTGTTTTGTTTCATTGACTGGCGAATTTTTGAAGTCAAATGTTATAATTAGGTAAAATTTGGGATTGTTAATGTTACGTTTTTAAAATAAATAGCTTACATTAATAGTTTATAACTATGACAACTTGAATACATAATTACTGAACCTTTTTACACCTCAGTATTTGAAAAAGGGTTATTATATTTACCAAAAAGAATGTATTAACGTGTTTATTCAGTTTTGCACTAAGTCACTCCCCCTTCAGAGCGCCATCACAACACAATCAGCCTGAATCCCGCTAATGAAACTACTCCACATCGCGTCAGGTTTGTAAAGTTGTAGCGTATTGTTTTGTACATTTATGGAGAATAGTCGTGGATGAGAGAGATCACTAGATTACTCAAACATGCATCTAAATCCTCTTCGGGCATGTTTTTGATGAGGGAACAAAATTATAACATGGTAGAAAGATCCAAAAAAATTCAAATGAGGCTGGAATATAAAGTGCTATCAACATCATAGTTTAGTTAAAACAAAATACTTTTTCACTGGAGACAAACTTTATTTAATATGAACTTGAAGATATGAAATATAATGTGATTGTTGAACTGTTTTATGGCAGTGGTTCTCAACCTGTGGTGCTGGTGCCGCTGGAGGTACACTGGACTCTGTGTAACTGTACTTTTTTAAAGATGAAAATGAAAAATATTAAACTTATCAAACAAAAACATGCTCTATATCTTCTTATTCTATTTTCACTTAAAGGTGCATTGTGTAAACTAAACAGTACATTATCTTGCATTTATTCTGTTCAGGAGTTAATATTGCTCAGAAAACATGCATTGTCACAGAGAGCGATTTGGAGTAAGAAAGCTTTCTGAAATATTTGTGCACATAGAATAGAAATCTGTGCATATTTGGCTGTAGTTGCACATAAAATTAATATTCGTAAACTCTCAAATGAGTCCAGTCGTACATAAAATATATTGTGTGTATTTTATCCATCGGAATATGAATAGAAAAGTTACAATGTCAAGAATTACAATCATGAAATGAAAATTTACAATTACAAGACAATAAGCAAGACACTTAACCCACCTTGCCCCTAGTGTCTGCGTACACTGGTGTGTGAATGTGTGAGTGAATGGGTGAGTGGTTCCTTGTTGTAAAGTGCTTTGAGTGCCTTGAAGGTGGAAAAGCGCTATAGAAAAATGTGACCATTTACCATGACCATTTACCAATTACGCTTTCATCAGAATGAATACGAATTCACAGACAGGACTTTAGTGTCAAAAATACGTCATCACGTCACAGACATTATCGAGCAGAAGAAACATCGATCAAGATCAAGACTGTGCATGTGCTAAAGAAGTAGTAGAGGGTAAAAACAGAGTAATGGCACAACAAGGAGCTACAACAGCAAACAACAGGTGGGTTCATTCAAATTTATTGTAAAAATGTCTTGTCTTGCCACATTGAATTAGGGAGCTGAACGCTGCTGTGTGATATTGTGTAGAAACACCTCCTCTAAATGGGAAATTGCACCGATATCTTAGTAGAAACATAGTGGAGCCAGTTGGCGAACATCAGACATAATGTTATCCCAGGGTTAATTAACAAATATGGGCGTTCTCTGCATGTTTAAAACATTCACGGC